GGCGGTTCACCTTGCGTCCTGGTATATAGGTATATGAAGCGTTTGGTGTAGGGACGCGACAGACACAGACAGGTGCCACGGTGTCTGTGTGTGTGTGCTAATGTGAGCCCGTCTTCTAACAATTTATAACCCATGTGGCTGGAGTCAGTAAGCTTTTTCAGCTTTAATCACCTTTTGCATCAGAACAACTCTAAGCCTAGAGGATGCCCGTTGCTAGACTCGTTAGGGACTCACGAACAAGAACATTAGCGCCAGGATTGTAAGTTCATCAGGCCGTGGATTTGTGCACGCAGTTATATTACGCAGACTTCAGCTCAAAAACTTATTTTCACTATTCGTATCGGTTACAGCATTCTACTGTTGCGCTATTAGGACATATACTGATTTAGTGGTTGTGCGTCTGCGTGCCGACTGCTCATTGATGATGCTGTCTTGATATGTCAAAAGCGTTTAGGCTAAGAGGTGTTGTGAGCCGACATGCATTGCAATTCTGGAGGGTCCGACGTGGACTGCGCATTGACAAGCCTGACTGTTAATAGGCGAATCTTAGCCCGCTGGTATATCTTTACAAGCGCCTCTTGAAGGCTGATTACCCTAATGCCGAAGTTGAGTATTACATGTACAAATGGGCTATAAGTGGATATAATCGTTTAACAGGCATTACTTTAATTCTTTATCTTTCTAGCTAAAATCTAAAATTAGATATCTTTCAGAGACAGAATTAAACAAGTAAAATTATGTTGCCTATAATGACTGCTTTTAATGGAGAATATTTCTAAAAATATAAAGAAGTTGTTGAGTGAGCAGTTCAGGAGTTTTATCTTCCGTGTAACGTTATTACGGACAAAAAGTATGTTAAAATAGCGTATTATTCGCAGAAAAGTGCGAAGCATTTACATTTATTGCCTATACTCTCGCACCCTGTTGTACAGTACGAGGTGCTATCAAGTGTTATTGTTCTACCTACGGTATGTTTGTAGCACCTAAAATCTCAATTCGAGTCTAGATATAAGGGTATAGTATATATTAATTGAATACGATGAAGAAGAAGACGCGAGTTGAAGTCCTGTCGTTAGAAAACTGGTTCCTGTCTCCTCTGTCCGTCTAACGTCCGTGCAAGCTCTTAACTTGAGTCCTTGAGATATCTTTATTTGAAACCTAATGGCTGTAGACCCCCTAGATTTCATGTGACGTGGACTGGTCCGGTGGTATAGTTGCGAGCGACTCCGAGACCACTGCACGCCACAAGAGCCATAATCAGAATACTAAATAACTTGCCATAACATGAAGTCCCAGCAATGATACAAGACTAGTTATTATGGTCCACAGGATGCTCATTTGAGGGAGGGGCATATTGCATAGGGTGTCGGAATGTCTTGTTTATTCAAAACGGTGCGCGTCAAGCAGGTAGGGCCCCGCACTCTAGAAGTTTTGTGCATATCTTTCACGTAAAACCGGCTATGCACACTGGATAAATAAACAAGGAATTTCACTGGAAAGGCATGATGTTTTTGCACTTCTGTTTCGCCTGGCTGTGAAATAGTGGGGAAATCAGCAACAGGTGCAACTCCGACCCACTCCCAATATAAAGGTGACTGGTGAAAAACTACTAAAGCGTGCGATAAATCGAAGGTACGAACACGCCGGGAGACATTAAATTTTATCCTCTGCAGGTCGGATAAGATGGCTTGTATAGTGACGCGTTCTAAATAGTCAGTAGTTGTGTAGTGGCACAGACCCCCTTTAGTAGTGAGATTCCCATATCGTGTGAGATCTGGCTCACCGATTTTGCAACCAATATTCAGTTGACATACGTTCTTTTCATGTTTTCTATGTCATAGTGCGAAAAATGGCGAAATTGGACTTACACCACGCTAGTTGCCCAATATAACACCATTTTAAATTTCCATCTGGATTCTTTCACTTGTGCGCGCTTAGGCGAAGTCATGGCACAATGACTGATATCGGGTGGCATAACCTTCTTGGTGAAGATTAATGCGATGTAAAGAGGCCACCTTTGTGGCCAAAAATTGATCAGAATCAAGCACAAAAACTGTTTAGCCCCTAAGTACATAAATATGTGGACCCCATTGCCTATAGTTGACCTTCTACCGAAAATATCAGTCAATCCACAAAGAAATCTCAAACGAGTATACTATTTGACTTTGCGAGAGTATAAAATGTTCGGTTACATCCGAACTTAGCCCTTCCTTACTTGTTAATTATTTATTTTGTATGATAACGTTCATGCTCTAATACCCGTTATATTGTTTAAGTACATACATACATATAGGCATATGATATTTATAAGTTTATTCTTAATTTTTTCCTTTTATGATTATCCGTATTTCTTTCGAATATTGTTTTAAAATGTAATACGATGAATAACGATATATATTTCGTCATGTGTCACTAATACTACTCTTTGTATGAACGTATACAAAATTAAAGTGATAATATACATAAAGATATATACATAAACAGCCTACAATCTATACACTAGAGTGGAACGAAAAAAAAAGGTTTGATGTTAAAAAAAATTTTTTTCCAAAAATATTATTTTTTTATAATCTACAAACTTTGACCTCAGGCTAAGCAAAAAAGAATTGTTTATTTTCGCTCCACCCTACTATACGCTACGCAATATATAAAAAGTTCTCCAATATACATTTAGAACTCGCTTTGAGTTTCTAGTGGTATTTTTAAGAGTTCAACACTTTTTAGAGAGAGTCTAAGGTATACAAGAGCTACTCTGGCATTGAAGCTTGCATGCATTTTTCTTTGTGCGTCTTCGGTCTTGTTTTGCGCTGGGGCAAGCCTCAGTAACAACCCAAGAGCGGTATCTGGAACATCACCTGATATTATATACAAATATTTTATTTGTATCTCCCACAAAATCTATCTCTAGCCTAATCAGCAATTATTCTTATAACAAACACGGGTTCTAAGGAACCTTCAAAGCGCAGGATAATGAGTTGNGTGTTTAGGATTAGATGGGGCGTTCATACAATAGTTTTGTATATATTTATTTGACTATGTATTTAAATATATTTATTAAAATACTGTACCTATGAAGCTGGTTCTAGAAGTACTAACGAAGTTTGTGCGAGTTTTGCAAAACCATCAAATTACTACAAAACAAAAACTAACACGCGGAAAAAGTGAAAGTTCTACTGATGTGTCATGTTTTAGACATTAGCAATTATGCTTGTTTTATACATTTCAGGCTGTAATGGTTCTATATACAATACATATGTACATCGAAGATATACGAGTTGTCGTACTATATTCGAATTTTGCAAACAGGTGGCAACACTTGAGCAACAATTATTCAACAAAAATCTTTTGTTAAATTGATTTTTTGGATACCCATATTGTAAAATAATAATTATATATTTTATTTTGCCATATAACAATTGTTTAGTATTTAATTTTTTTTCTAACTCAAAAATTAATCTTGTGGCAACTATTATTTTATACCCTGAACAGGGTATATTAAGTTTGCCACGAAGTTTGTAACACCAAGAAGCAAACGTCGGAGACTCTATAAAATATAATATATACATAAATGATCACCATGATGAGCTGAGTTGTTTTAACCATGTCCGTCTCTCTGTACGTCTGTCCGTCTGTATATACGCGAACTAATTTCTCAGTTTTTGAGATATCAACCTGAAATTTAGCATATGACCGTTTCTCACCAAGAAGCTGCTCGTTTGTCGGAATATCCGATATCGAACCACTATAGCATATAGCTGCCATACAAATTCAACAATCGAAATCAAGTGCTTGTATGGAAAACTTTTTTATTTTACGAGGTATCTTCACGAAATTGGGCATGAGTTATTTTTTAAGACAACAATGTATTATCCGCAGAAATTTTTAAGATCAGATCACTATAACATATAGCTGTCATACAAATTGAACAATCGGAATTAAGTTCTTGTAAAGAACCTTTGTATTTGTAAAGGGTATTATAGCTTCGGTGTAGCCACAGTTAACGTTTTTCTTATTTTTTTTTTAATTTTCTACAAGCAACTCTTTTAAACTCTTTCTGTTAAAAATCATAATTTTTTCTTTATCCGGTGGCAAGCTTCTATCTAATAATTTTACCACAATGCCTATGAAGTTTCATTCGAAAACTTTTAAAAACCAATCATTACATTTTATTGTGTTAATTTTTTGTTGTATCTACAACATTTCCAATATAATTGCAATGGATGTTTGAATACTCTTGCGAAACTGTTGGGAATTTGAAGAAATAAAATAATATAGATAAGAAAAATAAAGAAATAGATTATTTTAGAATGAGTTGGTGGTTAATTTTTTTTTTTTGGCTCACCCTAATATGTATGGTATATAGCTACAAATATGAAGTATTGCCATCCCGCTGCATTCACTCCGCTCTGCTGTAAAATCAATTTCACATTTAATTGGTTTAAAAATCAATTTTATTCGGTAATCATTACTTTGTATTTAATTTTTAATTAAACATTTTAATTTCATTTAATTACACGCTATATAATACACACATGAGTATACATGTAATATACATTTAGTTAAGTAAATGTAATGCAAGTTGTACTAATATTTATGAGTAAACACTTATTATCGATTTTAAAGTAAATAACAAAATTCTTGAACATTTGCGCAATGTGTATTTATGTACGTGTATATGTGTGTGTTAAATACTTATGTATACCATATTTAATTACGCGATATTGTACATCAGCTCTTTTATGGACGATTGCATTACAGTTAATAAGTATTAAATGCCAATACATATTAAATTACATAAATACATATGTATATACAATACATATATGTAAGTTCATTATGTATTTTAAATATGCTTTGTTATTCCCTAACACGTATTTACATTAACATTTAAAAGTGAATAAACAAATGCTTATATACTATTTAGTATATACTCTATACATACTAACATTACAATAAAAAAAAGAATTTATTTGTCAAAAAATATTTAAAAAAAAAATTATTTAAAAAAATATACATTTAAAAAAAAATACTTTTAAAAAAATTATACTTGTTTACAAGTAAAAAAAATATTGAATCCCTCGGTTTTTGCTTCCGGTCAGTTCAATGTGCAAGTACGTAAGACCTCGTGGTTGCACCACCACCGCCCGGTCAATACGGACGCCAGACGTTGCCCAAATCGCCCACATCCACATTGCGTGCGCCGCTGTGTTGCTCTCCCGTCACAGACGCATCACTCTGTGGTACATCCAAATGTGTTTGTTGTTGTTGCTGTTGCACCTGCGACTGTGCGTCATGCTGTTGCTGCTGCTGTTGTTGCTGTTGGAGATTGTGCTCACTACTCGTGATCGCTGCTGCGCTGCTGACGTCCGCCGCTGTCACCACACCTCCACTGCCACCATTGCCACCACCCATTTGGGCGTCGTGTAATGCCTGCGACGATCCTTGTGCGCTCATAGCTTCGTGATCCGATGTACCAATGCCGATCTCTATGCTCGATCGGTAGCCTGTCAGCGAACTGATCAATGAATTGTCGTGCACATGCACATGAATCTCATTCTGATTAACGGTGTGTGAGTAGAATTTCGGACACAGCACCATGGTGGCTGCCGCTTGTCCCGGGTAACCGCCACTTTGTGCGGCGCAACTGCTATAATTGTAGTTGTTGTAGCCGTTGGCAAAATTATTGTACGTGGGGTAGGTGGTGTTGAGTGTTTCCAGTTCCCCTTTGCCGGCGTCGTAGTGGTTGGGACTGCAAATGGGCGCTTGCGCATGTGGCATGTAGGTGCCAGTGGCTGTTGCCATGCCGCTGTGTGGATAATCACATAGCGAAGTCATGTCCGTTAGCATACCGGGTACCGTTAAACCATGGTCGGTGGTTAATGTGGTCGGTACGCTGGGATCGTAGCCACAGTGCGGCAGATTGGTGGGCGCGGCAGCAGTCGGTGTGTGATGCGGATATTGGTAGGGGTTGTGGGGTCGATAGGGCGAATAGGCACTTGTATTGTACGACGAATAACCGGTTGTCCAATCGGCGGCTCCCATCAGTGCATTGGCTTCTGGGGAAAGTAAAAGAGAAGAAATAATTTTATTTATATTAATAGATTGCGGAAGACAAATATGTATATTAATAAAGCAGCGTTTTTCATTCTGTCTTTCAATGTAACATATAAGGAATTTAATCGGAACACTTCCTAATATAAGCTTATATAAAATCAGAAAGATTTAAAATAAAAATTAAAACGATTCTATCTTGTCACTATTCTTTTAAAAGAAAGAGTCCTGAGTGGGCACCAGTTTTAATACAGTCGACAGATGGCGCTGTCATTTTTGAATGGAAGTGTATTATCTTGTCTCTTTCAATAAATCATTAAAATTAAGTATCAAAGAATATATCGTTTGGTAACAGAAAAAAACTTTTTGTTTCAGAAGAAAGCAGAAGGTCTATTGAACTACTTTCTTTTCATCTTACTTAGTCCAGTTGTAGGGGTTCAAATCGGAGACTATGCGATGACACTAAAAATTTTCACACACGCCAATTGTCAAAGTCTACCTGAAAGAAAGCGAAGTAGAAACATATCGACGCTTTTTCCTCAACTGTTCAATAGATTGAGATTGAAAGATCTCGAATACTCAGCCAAACGTGGCTGGTATCGAAATAAACCTTCTCAACAGATAGGCTCAAAGCGCTTCGTCGAAACATGAGATTCTCTAGAAAAAGCACTAGGATTTCTTTTACTCAAGTGGAGTCCCCGTAATACCGAAACCTAACTTACCTTAAAAATGTTATGTTAGTCGCCTCAACGGATTTCCGATGGGCTCAAAGCGCTTCTTCGAAACAGGAGAGTTAATCTATACCTAAGAATTTTTGACATCACGAAAGGACTGGATTTTCAACTGATCAAGTGAGGTCCGCTTAATGCCGAAATCCAACTTTTCATATAAATATAGTACTGAACGGACATGGTCAAGGTTTTTTCTTGCCTTTCTCAAACGCGGCTCCAGCTTTTTATATACATTTGTATAATTAGAAAACAATGTTTTATCGAATTGATATTTCATTTTATACGCAAAATTTGCTCTCTAAATTTTAAAGAATTCAACGTTAGAAGCGGAGTCTTTAAATAAAATTCATGTACAATCGACCTATCAAAAAAATGTCATAAACATAAAATATCATAAAGAGCGCTAATTGAAAATTAATTTCATGTTACAAGCTGCGAAACGAACAGTCACAGAAACCCTCCTCCCCCATATGTATCCCCACATATACATATGCATACCCTCAGCAAGAGTACTGTTATAGACTACACACATTATATGTCAATCATGAAGAATTGCAATAACATATATGGAACCCCGCTGAGCACCGTCAATAAAGCGTTTGCAGAGACATCAAATCAACGCTGAACAAAATGTCAAGCCACTGAACACGGAAGAAGGGTTGCCAGCGAGACGGCTGCGCGCCATGCAGAGCGGCAGCGACAGCGGAAGCATAACAACAAATTCATGAACAATTTAAAACAAGAATGAAGACATCCTAAAAGGGGTAAAGAACAAGGCTTGCGTAAGGAAAATTCCTCTACAAGTATTTAGGTAAGTATTTAGACGCAAGATTGTGAAAATCCATCAAGGCACCCAACGTCAAGTACATACTACATAAATAAATACTTTGATTAATTATATAGAAAATTGTGCAGATTGAGCAGGTGTTTGCGCAAAGGTAGCTATCACTATAACTGCTTGTATAAGTGAGGTTATGTGTGTAGTATAAAAGCAGAAGCGGAAGATGCCACTTACGAGTGACGCTCATCGGGAATGTTGGTGATAATTTCTTCTGAAGTTAATAAATAAAATTCAACGAAATTAAGCAACATAGCTAGAGTTTAGCATTGAGTTGGAAATTCTCGAATTCTGACAAGCGGGTTATTAGGGTGCTCTTGTGCCATATTAGAGGCATAGAGGTTAGTATGTGTATATCTAATATGTATTCAACAAATTTAATTTATGAAAATTACAATACTGTCGCCATCGTAATGAAACATTTTTGCAGTACCAACTACTACAACAGAGCAAATGTGAGGATGCGAAGAGTAAACGAATGTCGAACCTGACATTCAGCCTGTCAGCCAAGCTGTGTTGCAATGATATTGTTTTGAGTCAAAAGAGCAACTGTTATTTGGAGAGGCTTGTGTTTGAGTCCCAATTTGCGTTGCTCTTCAAACCCCGGAATCAGTGATAATGTCGAGTATATCAAGTTTGCGACGAAGTTTGTAACGGAGATCGTATAAAATGTATACCTAAATGATCAGCATGACGAGCTGAGTCGATTCAGCCATGCTCGTCTGACCGCCTGTTGTCGGTATATAAACGAACTAGTCTCTCAGTGAATTCGTTTCTTCTCAAGAAGCTACTGCTGCGAAACCGGATCACTATAGCATTTTGCTGTCAAACATACTGAACGATCAATATATGTTCTTATATGGAAAACTTTTTTAATTTGACAAGATATCTTCACAAAATTTGGCATGGATTATTGTCCAAGGCAACGGTACAATCTCTGAACAAATTTTTCATATCGGGCTACTATAGCATTTATACTACTATACAAAATGAAAGATCAAAATAAAGTTCTTGTATGGAAATCTTTTTTGATTTGTGAAGAGTTTGAGAGCCTCGGTGCAGCCTGAAGTTAGCATTTTTTCTTGTTTTAATATTAAGTTCCTTACCGGTCCCTCGGAGACAACTAAATTGTTGAAATATCTCCTATTCTTAAGCAAATAACCTTTCCGTTAGTTTTAAACCATTTAGAAATCAAATGTACTGTTAACAAAAGTCTATCGTATGGTTCCAATTAGATTTGAGCTCAATACTAAAACTAACTCTTAGTGGTCGGAATTAACATTTCAAAAGCTCTCTATAATTCTATAATTCGGAGAGTGGAAATAGAGACATTTTTATAGAGAAGACATATAAAGAGGTATATATTATTTTCCATCCGATTCAGAAAAGTTTAAGTCAGTGTCAATGTCGGTATATTTTTGATATAAAGTTCCTTATCAGCCGCTCAGAGATTACTAAATTGCCGAAATATTTCTAATTATTAAAAAATTGGGGAACCAAATATATAATATTACTTGTACATCTATATGATTCTATGCTCTCGCCAGGAAGCACCACTTTGCTCGCAGTAGACAGTTATGTCTCAAATTTAGCACTCAATTTTGCAATTTTCATTTAATGACTGCTTATTATTCGAGAGGTGGGCAGAAAATATTGTGTATAAGTACTTAAAAGACATAAAGAGAGAGTAGAGAATATATCAATCTGGTTTAGAAAAGTCTAAAGGACCTATACCGGCTTCTTTCGGCGCTTAGAATCAGATTATATATATATAAGTATTATATACTTATTCTATTATTATGTATGTAAGTAATAGATATCTATATATTGAGGTGGAGCGAAAAACAAATTGTTTTTGTTTTGCTTGGCCTGGGGGTAAAATATGTAGATTATAAAAAAAGAAAATTTTTGGACAAAGAAAAATTTTTTTTTTAACATTTAGTTTTTAAGTAAATTTTCGAGTTAAAATTTTTATTTCATAAAAAATGTTTGATAAGTGTTTTAGAAGTAGTGAAGAGTCCGCTTTCTGGCCAATTAGAAGTTATCAACTTAAAAATAGATTTTTTTGTGGTCATAATTGGAGTTTTAAAAAAAATAAATTTTGAGTCAAAAACAGTCACATTCGGTAATTTTGATATAAATGTAAAGAGTTCAAGCCAAAAATAATTTTTTCTTGCCAAAAAAAAATTTTTACTCGAAATTTCCTATATGTATTATAAAACATGCTTTAAAAATACATCCAACTACCAACACGTAAGTAATCACTACACGTGACATGTGCTCATAAATACATAAATATCTATATATGTAAATAAGTGATTGAAGTTGTATTGCCTACGTCCTCTCTGCACTTATCACATTTTAATGTTTCAATTAAGCGAAAATTACAATAGGCATAACACAACAACAACTATGTTATTTACAATAATTTAGCCAACTTGCAATATTACACTTAACCTTCCCTCACTCGCCCTCTCCCCTTCTCCCCCTCACTGTAGCCCACCTGCCGTTCTGCTGTGCGTTCCACACAGAGTGCGTAGCCAGTAGCCAACCGCTGCCAACGGCACAACAACTAAGTAAATTATAATGTTGCATTACAACGTTGCAACACCGGCAACAAAAGGAAATTGCCATTGCTACGCTACTGTTGCCTTCAAACAAACACCGAACATATAATTTACGAGACAGCAGTGGCAGCACGGAAACCCACAAATGCAAAGGCTTGTATTCGCGCAGGATTTTCTCGATTGTTTTTCATTTTGTTTTTGCTTTTTACCTTGCTTTTGCAGGTCTTTAGCGGGTGCACGCAAGAACAAAGCGAACGCAACGAGAATTACACGCCGCAAATCAAAAAAATACCGCCGGCCACTGCCCGCTGTATGTTAGTCGACATCATCGTGAATGCCGCTAAATTGTTGGCGAAGGATGATTGTCTGCTGCTCGCTGTCCTTTAGCGCACTTACAAGCCAAAAGTGGCTAATAATGGCCAACCGACCGGTGCGTGCCGCCTGTGTGTGATATGATCCGATCTTTCGCATGTGGTAGTGCGTGAGTGTGGGGCCAGTTTTGTCATTAATTTACCCTTCAATTGACGTTTGTTAATTGCAAAGGACTTGTTGGTAATAAATTTGAGCATGGGTGTGTGGATATGCACTCACATTCGCTATTTCCCACTGTATATAATATATATTTTTCTACAAGTATATAGATGATATAAAGATTTCTATATATTGTACATTTGTAATTTTCACTTTTTATTGGAAAGTTTCCATATTTATTTTTGCTTGACTGTATATGTATGTGAATTTCGTATGTGCTCTTAACTAATAACCTTAGGTATAGTTTTGGAACGCAATTAAACTTTTTTATATCTTCTAATCTAAATCCAGTTATTCCTAAATATTTTACAGACTAAAGAACATTTTTCAATCGAGAC